TTCATTTATATGTTTATCAAATCCTCCTACTTATTATATGTATTTATTGTTGCTTGATCCGGCTTCTAATGCTCCAGTTGGCGCGGCTTGGTGATAGTAGTCGTGGCTCCAGGAGGCACAGTCTTATTCGTTATATATTGAACTCAGGAGTAGTTCTGCCACGGAATTTGTGAGTGAGTGGCGCTATGTGGGTCTGATATGATTCTCTTCGGTGTCGAGGCCCGGTTGGTACAGTTGGTATGTTGTCTGCTTGACAACCCAGCTGTCAGGGTTTCGATATCTGGTGGTGGATGCGCACTGCTGATGAGTCCCAATTATAGGACGAAACGGCCGTCCAGTGCTTCCTCTATTTTTCAGTTGAGATTTATATCGGACTCAATGAATTTATTCATATATATATATAGTTTTATTTTATGCTATATTTATGGGTGAAAGTTTTCTATATCAGGATAGAGTGTATGTAAATATAAAAGTGGACATTGATGTCAGTACCCAGTGACTGTCTGTTTCATTCTTAAACGCAATCGTCAGGCCACTTTTGCAGCATGAAACAGACTGTTGACCCAGAGTGTTGACTTCAATGTCCACTTTTATATTTACATACGCTCTATCCCTGATATTGAACACTTAAATAAATATAGTATAGCATAAAACTATATTCTATCATATATGTGTGCGTGTGTCAGCGTGCGTGTGTATGTATAAAAATGGACACACAGCTCAACACCAAGAGTTTGTTTCATGCTTGACCGCAATCTTCAAGCCATGAAGCATGAATCAAGCTCTCGTTGCTTGATATGGACCTCAGTGTCTACTTTTATATTTGCTTACCCTCTAACTCTGATTTGAGCACTTTTACTCGTGAATAAAGCATATCTTCTAATAGTTTTTTATTATTATTACATTGTATATACAGAGTGCGATAGGTAAATTGTCTCAATTTTATAGTTTTAATTTCGCGCATGCGCGTTGTTTGTATTTGATTTTGTCGATTGCACAGTATAGTAGGGTCAGTTGGGCACCGTCTGTGATAAAAAAGAGTACCATGACGCAATTCACTTCACCAGAAATTTAGTAACAGCCTGCTGTATTGCTTGGCATTCGCGCCAAAGTTCCAATACGAACATTTCAGAGTGTATGGATGACAATCTGTGGACAGTGCAGAGGATTTGGAAAGAGTTGGACGAATGTAATGGTGATTACGAAGGTACGCCAGTTAGAACAACTGACTCTGATCGTTCTGATAAGAAAAGATCTCCTAAATTTCTTAGTGAGGGCATCAAACTTAACACGGGGTCCTATATCAAGTGCTTCCCTGTGTCAGGACGGTATCTGCTTAAAGACCCTATATCTGGCACCATAACACATAAGCAGAATCCAGTCATGGCTGTCAGACAATTATTACGACAACATCACCCCTTACATCTTGGCCACCTATCTCCCCCTTTAATTATGATGTGTGGGGCGCAGTTGAGCGAGAGACCAACAAAACTCCTTGTAACACCAAAGATGAACTGAAGGCAAGGATTATGACAACATTCACTATCTTAACATCGCGACATCTATCAGAGAGATAAAATTTAATTTTTTATTATTGCTTTATTCCAAAATTTTAACACATCTGCAGATAGCTATTAATGTCAACAACTGAGCAGATATAGTTATTAATTAAAAAATGATTATTTAATATATAATATTATCCATAATTACATGTACAAGAATGTCGTTTTTGATAAAAGTTTAAAAAAATAACAATAAATACGTAAAAAATGCGTATATTGTCGAAAATTCCTTTTCCCACAATATAGCTATTTGTGCTATGTTATAATGCTTATTACTTAAACAATAATAATGCTGAATATTTTTTAAAACATTAAAGTATATTTAATCACATCTCCCTAACAGCTGTAGCGATCTGTAAACAAAGTGACCGTCCAGAAGAGATGCAGGAAGTCGTATGGAAGCTGTGGTTGAATCCAATTGCGATTTTATTGAACAAATATACTCTTTAACATTTCAATATATTTTTGTGTAATTTTCGTAAATATATCTGTTAAAATGAGATGTCAGTACTATTTTCATTTTTGCGTAATTTAGATGACAATTTATCCATCTCACCCTGTGTGTATATCTAAGTGTGTATGTGTGTGTGTGTGTGTGTGTGTGTGTGTGTGTGTGTGCGTGTGCGCGCGCGCGCGCATGCCCACTGAAAAGAACGTTTATAGCAAGCAATAGGAGAAATCTTATCAAGGGAAAAATAACCCTCCCGGAAGGCGAATATTTTTCTCAGTGTTGAATATTAATCACAGAACAAGCATTATACAATGAAAGTTTCATGTTAAAATTCACAAAATTATGTGAATGGCTCTGTACTTATTGATGTAATCTCCTGTAGTGTTATATATGCATCCCTAAATTTATCTGCATGGTTATAAGTACGTATGTAAATGGTTATCTATATTGACGTATACGATAAAACATATATGTATATATTTTTATGCATGTAACTATGCAGTTAAATGCCTGTGTACTCTTGTTATTCATTTATATCGTTATACATATATATCTACACGATTATATTCTATTGTGTATTCGGTTTGATATTTATATATTTATATCCACATATGCCTCATTAAATACACACAAATAAACGTACATACCTCTGCCAAACAATATGTCAAGTATTAAAAACAGGTTCCGTTCAAAGTTAAAGCAACTGTAATATTGAATTGGCAGTAGGGCGCATATATTTCTTTTATTTATTCAACGAAATCAAATTTTGGCTGTAAAAAAATAGGTTAACTTCAATTCCTTCCTTACAAGTATCAATAAGATGTGTATTTCGAAAAGAATTAATCTTTTGTGTTTCTGTCTGAGATCATTGCAATAATTTCTGGTTGAAAAAGTTTTGAAAAGATGTTTTGTTATCATATCTTTGGGCCGAAATCTGTAAACGTACGCTCAAAAATATTTTCAAGATAGACGTGATCTAATCATAAAAAGCCATAACTTTGTTCTTTTTCATAGTTTTTTTTATTATTTTTTTGAGGATCGCTTTTTAAAATGTTACTTGTTTCTATTTTCTTCTATTCATGTTTAGAGCATTTCCTTTTACATTTCAGAACAGATACTACATCTTTGTCTTTTTTGGATGTTGGTGATTAAGGCTATTCACATTTTCTTCTTCTTTGTAGCTCTTGATAAATTTTTGTGCCAAAACCTTGGTTCGCCACCCATTTATTCAAGCTCGCTAGGTGGGTTATGCGTTGTTTTCTCTTGACCGTCTTGCCCTCAATTTGTCCTCTGAGTATCAGATTTTACAAGCCCTCTTTCCTCATTATGAACCCTATAAATTTCAACTGTCTCTTCTTGATGATAGCTATAATTGTTCTTTTTGTTTCCATTTTGTTTAAAATTTTCGGTGAATGGCATTCTCAGCATCCCTTTAACCATATTTCTGTTGCTTCAGGTCGCTTCGTCATCTGTGAGTAGTGTCCAACATTCACTGCCATATAGGAAGACTGATATTGCATAACAGCAAATTACTCTTTTCTTTGTTTTTAACGATTTTTTCTGTTTCTTAATACATTGCTTAGCTTTCGAAATACATCTTTCGCTATCTCAAAGCGTCTTCGGTTTTCAGTCCTCTGTTAAAACAGTTCCTAAATATTTAAAATTTTGTAAATGCTTGATTTTGTTATTCCCAATTTGTAATTTGCATGTTGGGCTGTTCCGTTAGCATTCTGTCTTCTTGCAATTGATGATTAGGCCTTTCTTCTCGATCTCCTATAGAGTGACCGATAACAGTTCATTATCCTTTTCTTTTTCTTTCTTCTTTCTGAAGGCATTTTTCGTTCTCCCCTCACTGTGCCTTCGGATCCCAGTGTTGCACTTTCCGTCCTTTGTTAAAACACTACCCAAATATTTAAATTTCTGTACTTGTTTGATCTTGGTAGCTCCAATTTGTAATTTACATGTCAGGGTGTTGCACTTTTCTGAAAACTATGCATTCTGTTTTCTTACAACTGATGTCCTTTTTTTTTCTCGCTTTCCTTCACTGCATTCTGTAGGAGTTCTTGTGGTTTCTTTTCTGTAGTTACAATCAACACTGAGTCATCTGCATATCTTATGTTATCAAGCCAATAATGATTACTGCTAAGACTTCTAATTCTATCAGAACAGTCTCACAATATGGATTGAATAAATCTACTGAGAAGACACGTCTATGTCTCACACATCTTTCTATATTAGTTACTGAAATCATTTTTATCCGTATGCAGACAGTTTACTAATCTATAACAAAAGGCAATAATACTCAAAATGAATAACGCTTTTCTAATTTCTCAAATATTTTTATTTTGCTCTTACTATGCAAAAATATCAGTAATTGAAAAAGTTAAGCTTCATTTTGCTATTTAAACCGAAATCGATGTTAGAAGTTTGGGATGTATCAATTATATCTGTATAGAATTACGTGATGTTACTGAAACGAATTCAGTTCGACCATCTTTCACAATCTAAATAATCAGATGTTCTTATGATCGAACGACAAAATTCTGCCGGTTGAAATTTCTAAAATCTTTCTCTTAAAACAATTTTTCATAGACACTGGTGACTCAAATCTAGTAGTGGTTATCTCCCGTTCTTGTAGTAGTTATCTCCCTTTCCAGTAGTGAGGGGTTTCCCTCTTAACCTTTGTTCGAGTGACATGTGCTCTCGACTTCAGTTGTTGCTGCTGTTGGAAGTCTTCAAATGATGTGGTTACTGTTATGTGGTTCATTTTATGTGATTCTGCAATGCCAATCCACGAGGTTCGGAGAAGGATTTTCCTCGCTAGGACCTACACGTTTCACTCGCCAGAAGTCAACTGATCTGAGAATACAGTTGCCGGTTTAGATATTGCTTAAATATAATTTCGACAAAAATAAATTTAACAATTTTCATTCAATCATGTTGACATATATATACACACATATATATCGGGGCTTACGGTTACATAACGTTAAAACACCGGTTCCTGTACTATCACCGAAGTTAAGCAACGTCGGGCCTTGTCAATACCCAGATGGGTGACCGCTTGTGAATGCTTGGATATATGGTTGGATAATGGCTAGAAATTGTTAATTGGAGAGCTGATTTCTAATTCCCGTAGGATTCGTTATATTCATTTCGTGAAAATACCTTTATGAATCCACCTCTTCTCCCTCATCTATGGGTTAATAAATTAAATTTTTATAACTAAACAATTATTATTTCAAAAGAATACTCGCAACTCAAAAATATCTTCTGGCTTTAAAGGGTTGATAGGACGTAGAAAATGGCTGCATAGGGTTGATAAGCTATAAAAAACGAATCAATTAATAAAAAAGAATTCATATATCAATTTTCAAATTGATAGATAGATAGATAGATAGATAGAATGAACGTCGTGGTACGCTTATAAAAAATTATATGACCCCGCATTTTATTTGAATACCATCCCGTTCATTAAAAGTCCATACGGGCAAGCAATGCATACTTTAAAAAAGTACCCCTCTTTTATCTGAACAACTACAATTTTTATTATAATTTTTTGAAGACTTATAGACCCGACACTTAATTGATAAACCCGTTTATACGAGAGCAAAGATTAGATAGATAGATAGATAGATAGATAGATAGATAGATAGATAGATAGATAGTTTTAGTATGTGCTTTCTTTTGCACAAATGATTTCTCGTATTTGCATGTCTCTATAAAACATAGTTCTCCTCAATAATATATTTCGGTTTCCTGTTGTATTTATAATATGATCGTTCATTTTATGCTCGTTGTCATCTTCCTCTTGTTGACTTGTTCCCATTCAATATTCACTAATGATGGTTTCCCTAGTTCATGGTTAGAAGCCAAATTGCTTAAAAATCAAACGGCTTCTATTATGCCATTCTTCGCCAACAAAAAAAGAACACACACACCCATACGCGCAAAGAAATAAATAGAAAAGTCAAAGCAAATCAGAATGTAAAATCATGTGATCGAAAATCAAACGATACATAAAAGATTACTACATGTAAACATCGCAAGATTTGTTCCCTTGCACAAGGAACACATAAGTTATTTTGCTATAACTTGATTGCTTTAAAGATGAACACACAACCACAGTCTTAATAACAGAAGTTATATAATCGAGGGGAAATTAACAAGACTGTCGCAATTTCACTGTCAGATTTTCTTATGCTAATCAATATTTTCGTATGAAATTTAATATTAATCGATATATTATAGTAACGGCTTCAGGAGATATATATATATATATGATGAAGATAAATATACAATGTGAATTTTAGTTTATACTAGCAGCATGGCCCGACGTTGACCGTGCTTGATTCAAAAATCGTACGACTCATACAGCAATCGCTATCACTCGACTTAAAATATTTTTGCCCTTCCTTGCCTTTAGGAGTGACCTTTGCCGTGCTGATGTTGCTACATGCCTTGCTTCTTGCCTATCTCACACTGCGATTTTTTTCTAAGCTCTATACTAAACATTAAATCTGTTACGAAAAAAGAACTAAACAAAATGAACACAAAACGATCAGCTTTAAAAAAAAAGGACTCGTAACTGGAAAAACCGAATGAAAAAAGAATGTTAACAACAAATACTTTTTCACACCCAACCCAGTTTTGCGGAATCAGAATCAACGTTGAGTTTAAGCAAGCGAATGAGCCAATTGGAGTAAAATGCCATGCAGATTTAAATTTTTCCCACTTGTGACGAATGCAGCTATCGATTTCTTTGCATGCTAGCATGCTAGTTAATATTTGTGTCAATCAGCTGTTGGCTCTCACGCTGTCCAATAGAATCTTCCTGCCTATTCGTGGCAGCCAGATATAGGCTTTCACTCTGGCCAGTAGAAAATGGCCGCAAACTACATGAAAACTGCCGTAGAAGCATGAAAAATCGATTATTTCCACTATCGATGGGGGTTTGGAAATGAAAGTCGGTCTTGACCTTCCCACTAACTTGGAGCATGTGCATGTAAATTTTGGTGCAAATCCGTCGAAAATTGCGGCTGTGCATTCGTTACACAAACACATACACATCCTACCTTTTATAGAGATTATGACTTGTAATAGCTTATTTGGTACTATGGGATTTTATTCTGCGACTGGGGGTTCGTATATCATGTAAATAAATGCATACATACACACATATATACATGATGGCTGTTGACCTCGTTACACAATGACTATTGTCGGCAGGTTTTGAGCAATGGTTATGGTATTGTATTCAGAAGTGTCCTACTCGCTGACTGGTTGACTACCACGACTAGAGATCCCAGTCAACCCTGTTATTTTAACCCACAAGAGTCAATAATAATTGAGCGTAAGAAAAATGTAGCGAAAACGACTGGAATTCAACCTCGATTCTTCTATTTCACGTTCGGAGACGCTATTCACTGCACCATCTTGCACGCATTCACATACATACGCATATATATATATATATATATATATATATATATATATATATATATATACAATTATTTATTTGAAAATTATAACATAAATATGTCATAAAATCACTTCAAAAATAGCCATTTTGTTTCAATACTTCTGGTGTTTTATCAGGTGATAGTCTTGAATGTAGAATAAAGGCTTTTAAAGCCATAAATAAGCTATAAAATCACTACAAAAATACCCATTTTCTTTCAACACTTCTGGTGTCTTATCAAGTGATGGTGTTGAATGTAGAATAAAGGGTTTTATATATCGGTCGATGTCGACTTACGACCACAATTGGTTAGGGCCAACTGGTGGTAAATCGACGTTGTCGTAAGTCGCCCTGTAATTAATTTTGCAATCGTTTTATCTTTATTTACGCATTATTATATTTTTTTATCATTTTCACGCTTTATTTACAATTGATATCATTTCTATCCTTTCTTTATACATTGTTTGGTTACTTATTTTTACGTTCGTCATGTTTAAGTCGAAGTTGGTTTAATATTTGCTAAACATACAAAATCCAAAATAAAGGCCCAAAAAGACAAAACATTTTAGTCCCAAAACATACCAAAATACATACAGATGCACAACATCTTATTAGTTGCTGGATCTTGGTTGTGGATCGACAATGTCGTCAGCTGAAGCGCAGGCCTCAGGATAACTGGTCGAGCCGTTTATTTTCGCAAACCTGGAGAGATTTGTCTGAATTGTTTGTTTCTTTTTCTCCTTCTAGATTTCACGATATGGGCGAAACACATCATGTGCCATCCTCTCAATCCCTGCAAATCCTTCGATGTTTGGGTCTATTCCTTCAAAATATGCAAGGAGTTTATTCACTAGAGATTAATCTTCTGATAATACCTTAGTGTTAAATTTCCTTTCTCGGTCCTCTTCTTCTTTCTCATCTTCTTTCTTCTTCTGTCACTCTTTCCGCTTCCAACGTGATTACCTCTTCATTTGTAAGTTCTCCGGATTTCTCTAAAAAAAAAGGGTGACTTGCCAGTTTTACTGTATACATTTACAATACACTTACATTGCTGTCCCCTTCAATCTTTCCTTCACCTCCTTTTCTACTTTGCTTCCCATTAAACTCAATGCCCTGTCTTTCAACCATCATTCGCCTGTTATTTTTTTTAAGATAATTATGTAGTGTTTCTTTTTAAATAAAGCGTTAAAGTGGTCATTTTGAAATTAGCACCAGGCGAGACCGCCAGGCGAGACCGCCAGACGAGACCGCCAGGTCAAAACCGTGGTCGTGTATTTTAATTCACCTCCTGATTTTTAAACTATATATATATATATATATAAACTATATATATATATATATATATATATATATATATATATACTGCGATGAGTCGTAAGAAATAATATAAACAAAAAAGCAAAGCCTTATATTGTAAAGTTATTGATTAAGGAGCACGCAACATTAGAAAATGTGCAAATTTTGAACAAAGATGACAGAATAATGCAAAGTTATTGTAAACCTTGGCAATATAAGAACAATATGAACTGGCTTTAAGAATGTCAGAAAAGGGGAATTAAGAAAAACTTAACGGATAATAAGAACAGTTGCTTAAGAAGGAAGGAAATTATCAAAATTTGTGTTGACTGTAAATAAATATAAAAGATATAGAGTATGAAGAGAGATCATTATAGACATGAAGCTAAACAAACCATAACCTTTAAGTAAACATCAAAATACCGCTAATCACGATGAACGGATGTCCCCTCGAGGAGGCACCATGCCTTGAGAGAATATTGGGCCCCAATCTTACACCTGACCTGAATTGGAACTCATACATACGAGCCACTGCTAAAGATGTACGTAAAATGTTCGGCTCCCTGTACCGCCCCAGTAATTACCTGACACCTCGTGTTATCCTCTACCATTACAAGAGGCCGAAAATGAAGTACTGTTGTCATATTTAGGCACAAGCTACCCAGTCCTCACTTTCAAGTAGAGTTCAAAATCGCCTCCGAGTCCTTGTGAGTGACGAATTATTTTCCACCCTACAACCGCTCTTTCACAGGCGGGGTGTGGTGAGCCCCTCACTGCTCTATCTCTGCTTCCATGGAAAGTGCTCGGATGAGCTACATTCCTTGATTCCGCCAGGCGTAACCTTCACGGCTAGAGCCTGTTTTGCCACTTGCGCAGTAGCAAACCACCCACATTCCATCTGTATTCCAACGGTTAAAAGTAAGTTCCACTTGAACAGCTTCTTTCTGCGAAACACTGCTCTGTTGAACAGACTCCCAAGTGAATGTTCCCTGACCACTACAACCTTAACCTGTTCAAATCTAGTTGACCGTTATCTTCCCCCAATCTCCGTATAAACTACCCCTTAAAGTAATCCTCCAGCTAGAGTGGCCCGCTTGCTTTCTACAGGGCGAAGCTTATTGTAAAAAAAGCATAGCGAAATATGGAACCTGAGTTATGTAGTTTTAAAACTAGTTTTAAAAGAGTAACTTTTAGTGATGAATGGTGAGCTGATGTATGGGGTTTTGGTCCTTCTTGGAAATAATCAACCAACTCGACTCCCAGCAGATGAGAGGGTAAAGTGGCGTATTGTGATAATATTGTAAGCAGTAAAATGATAGC